AGTGAATTGATCATGACTGAGAAATATACACTATGTATAATAGTTTCTTAAGTTGATCTTATATTACTGTAGATTTATCAAGAATTTCATATGAATATTTACATCACTCTCAGATCTCTTAAGAGAAATGAATACAAATCTGTGAAAGAAGAAGTTTCATTCAATTATCTGAAATACTGTGTGTGAAGAGGCTTTTCTCACACTGAGAAAATGTATAATAATATCTTCAGTGCTTATTCAATCACATTGTAATAAATCTTTCTATATTGAAACAGATGCATCTGAATGAGCTATCAGAGACACTCTTCTACAGATGAGTAAGAATGACAAGCTGCACTTAATGATGTATAATGATGGAAAACTATCAGATGCTGAGCTGAATTATTCAGTATATAAAAAGAAATTACTAGCAATTAAACACATACTGATGTTATGAGATAGATATATTGATAACAAGTATACAATAACAGTGATTATAAATCATGAAAGTCTTATCTATCTATAATCAACAATAAAACCTTTCAAATACTTAGTATGTTAAATCTCAGAGTTTCAAGTATACAATCTTTATATTAAGTACTGAAAGAAATCAGACACTGTAGTATCTGATGCAATCAGTTATAGACTCAATTTCATGAGTGAGAATTCTGTAAATCAGATATAAGAGAAGTTTATATTAAATATACTGAGAGAATGTAAGAAATCAGAATAAGTGAATATAATAATCTCTCACTTAAAGAATGACAAGATGTCAGATGATAAACATCTTATAAAAGTAGTAGAAGAGATGCTTCTGAACTTCAAGCTGAGAAAATTGAAAAATAATGTTATGCTTTACTGTAATCTAGAATATGCAGAAGCTCTCTATCTAGAATATTTATTTAAATATGACTTAATAACTTACATGCACAAGGAATTCAGTCACTTAGAAAGCTCTGAACTTATGAATATACTTGAATCAAGAGTATACTGACTAAGCATGACTGAGAATATTCAGATGTATGCTTACAAGTGCCTGAATTGTCAGGTTGCAAAAGAATATAAGAAAGAGTTAGAATATAAGAAAGTATAATATTAGATGAAGTGTATAATACAATTATTTGAATAATAAGAGATAAATCTCATAGACATATTACTGTGAATATTAAATAAAAACTGATAAATAATCACTGCTATTGATTATGCTACTGACTGATCAGTTATGAAAGCAGTTTCAGAGATGATAGAGAAGATAGTAATAAAGTTTCTATATAATGAGATCTATATTAACTATAAAATACTGTGTGAGAATCTAAGTGATAATAATGTGAATCTCATAGAAGAAGTAATGAGACATTTCATGAGTCAGTTACAGACAAGATATTATAGAACAATGTCATATTATTCACAGATGAACAGAAAAGTGAAATACTTGAATAGAATCTTGAGTAATATGCTGATGAAATATCTAATGAACAAGTCTATGAGATTATGAGATAAATATCTCAGTCAGGTGCTATTAATTATGTGAATTCAGCAGCATGCAGTCTTTAAGTGTTCATAATTCTATCTGTTATATGAATTGCATCCGCGCATCTCAGAGAATGCTTTGAAAAAGATGAGAAAGAAAACAGCAGTTGCAGATGCAACAGTTACAGACATAGCAGAAACAGCAGTTATAGATGCAGCAGTAGCAGTTGCAGATACAACAGTTGTGAATATAGAATCAAGATTGAAAGAGATCAGTCATGCATGTATAAAAGCTAATAAGTTACATCTGAACTGAGCAATTCAATTGAAAGAAATACAAGACTGACTAGTTAAGAAATCAAGTCTCAAGATGAGAATGTGAGTTCTTATATGCAATGAGAGCTCTGAGAAGCTTTAATCTAGATGATTTAAGCTCTATAAAATACTTAAATCACATTCTCTGAGAATATATACATTGAAAGAATCAGAGAGACAGATCTTATACAATTTAATAAATAATTCATATCTTATAAAGATAAAGATGTAAGATCTGAGTGAATTATAATTATCTATAGCACTCTTATCAGTATTGAAGAAGAAGAGACTTACAATTGAAAAGTCTTATAAAGTAAGAGAAATTATAGATACTTATGAATCAGATAATCTCACTTATTCTGATCTTTTCATAATTATAAGAAAAGAATGAGAAGAAATTAAGAAATCAGATAAATATCATACTTCAATAAGTGATAAGACTGTAGCTGATTGTATAATAACACACTGTAGACAGTGAGTGTAACACAGTAAAAAGCAGTCTCAAAGCAGCAGATTTACATATGAGTCAGATTATAGAAGAAAAAGAAATTCAGAGTTGAATTTAACTGTTTATATCAGTTCAATTATGAAGATAACAGAGAATGAAGTATCTGAAACATCTGCAGATATATGAAATCAAGTTATCTCAATCTCTGAGAACACTCAGAGATTGAATGAGATTAGTTTCAATGAGCTATTCACTGTAGTAATCTGAGTGAGTGAAGAGAGACAGTATAATATATAAGATAGAATCATAAAAGATAAAAGCTGTCAAACCTAGTCACTGAATACTGTATCATATAGAGATTGTATAAGAGTAGTGACTAACAGACAAAGAAAAAGTGTAAGAAAAGAAAAGAAATAATGAATTGATCATCAACTGTAAGAGTCAGCTGTAAAAGATAAATATTATTATATATCTTATTCATTTTCATATATTATATATTTAATCTATTTCCAACACCACATTACCTGAAAAACATCAAAAATAAAAGAAATCTCAAAACTTGAGATCTGTAAGAGATTTGAGAGCTGTAAGTCACTCTTATAATAACACTGTGTATATCTCTAATTTCTCTACTACTCTGTGTACAACATTAATATCATTTATTACAAGATTAACTGAAGTGCCAATATAGAAATGTGTATATATATGTGTAGAAAAATGAGAGAAGAGTGCAGAATCTGCAGAATCAGAAGCTAGAGTAGAAGAAATAAAGATAGAAGAAATGAAAGAAGAAGAAGATACAGAACTGAATAAATGATAATAAAAGCTATTCAGAGCTGAACACTTATAACTCAGTGTGTATACAATCTTTCTCACAGAGAAGAAAGAGAAAGCAATGAGAGAAGCTTAAAAGTGAGAGAGAATAGTCTCAGTGATATTATCATCTTTAATTAAAATAATCTCTGACACTGAAGTAACTAAGAACTATTATTAGTGTATAAAACTGTAAAAGCAGAGATAATAATTACTGAATAAATATCTACTAATCTTAGAATTATACATACAATTACAACATGTATGAGGCTTCTCAGAAAGAGAGAGAGAAACACAGAGAAATATAGAAAGCAGAACACAGTGTGTGAATAACTCATTTTCATAATAATATCTCAGATAAGATATATAAGTCTCATATCTGTGAGTGTAAAAGAGTACAATATCTGTGTTCTTATTTCTGAAAATACAGATATTTTTTATCTGTATCATGAAGTCAGATAATAGATGCTAGAGAATAGACTGATATAAATCTATTATTCTGAAGAAATTTATCAGAGTGAATATCTCTGTAATATTGAACTTTACAGTTATAAAAAGTTTCTTGATATCTGTGAATATCATGACTTCATGTATAATAAAACTCATAATGATTTTTTCTAAGAACAGAAAAATCAGTGTTAGAAAGAAAAGATGAAAAAGAAAAAGACTTACAATTTTAACACTGTTAAGAAGAGAAGTGATTCTCTGATATAAATAAATAATTACTTTATTATGAATATTTAAAATAAATGTAATAATCAGTGTCTGCAGCTGAGCTTTAGATAGTTATATTATATACAGTCTTCATACAATAAATCATTCTAGAGATTGATAAGAAGAGCCGAAGTATATACACTGAGAAATATAGTTTATTAAGTCTATACAACATCTTCTTAAAACAGAGAGAGTTAATAATAAAAGCAGAGACAGTAGAATCAGAGAAAGCAGAGATAGTGAGAGTGAGAGAATCAGACACAGAGACAGGTATAGAAGATTGAGAAGAAGTAACAGAGAAAGAAACAGAGAGAACAGAGAGAGATACAGAAGACTTAGTTATATATAATACAGATAATTTCTTCATTATTATATTCTTCAAGTTCTCAATCAATAATTCAATATTGAGTTCACTATTATTGATGAATATAGATCTGTCAATATGTGAAGATTCTATATAAATAAAAATAAATATATCAGTATCTGTATCTGTATTCATGTAAAATTGTATCAGAAAACATTATCAGAAGCTCACTGAGAAGAAAAATGATTGAGAATGTATAAGAAGATAAAGAAGATATATTATTTATAATAATATGTTCTGATAATTATTAGAAGATAAACAAGTTCTGATCACATTTCATAATATATTACACTTACTGCTAATGAACTGTCTGATATGAGTACTATGATAATACTTATTATAAGAATAAGAGATTATTATCAGAAATGCATATAATATGATAAATAAATAGATAGAAGATGTTAAATAGAAGAAGAGATAGTAATCTTGAATGAGATAATAATAATATTCAATGATGACAATGATAAAGAAGATGATTGAAGAATGAGAAAAGTTAGTAAATAAGTGATATAATATAGTGAAAGTTTCTTTGTAAGAGTGTACACAGAATGCTAGCTGAATCAGGGATAGGTCATATGATTATGAACACTAGTGACATGCTAATCTGCATGAAGCTAGGGCAGACATCATGGTCATGTGAGCATGACTGAATCTGATGAGGGAGGATGTGATTCAGAAGAATGTACAACTGTCAGATAATAACACGGCCACTTCTGAACTTGCTTACAAATGTAAACGGGCCATAGCGGCCACTAATTAATTTAGTGTATGATATATAAGAAGCCGGCGTACGCCTGTAATCGTACACTGGCTCAAGCAACCTTTGAATCACATAACTATCAAAAAGAAAATTCTTCACTTTTAATTATAAGAGTATTCATCATATATTTACTTTACTTCACTTCATAAATCAAAGGTGGTAGTGAATTTAATGCAAGCTATACTACTTAATCAGATAATGATAGTTACTATCAACTATTAACTGGTTATTTATAACAGGATACTCTACCGCAAACAAATCCAGACAAAATAGGGAATGTGGAAGTACTATTTCCATTGTATTTTACGAACTACATATTAGAGGCAGGCAGAAAGCTATTATTATTGGTAATAAGTAGAAAAACCTGGGCTCAATGACTAGAAAAAAAAAAAAGAAATCCAGCTAGAAAAACAACTATCACTATTAATCAATCATACGCATTCGGGTAATTGTGCGCCGTAACCCAACACAGCGGGACAGAAAGGACAGTTCACTAGTATTGCAAGCGAAGACAGCGAGCGGGTGAGTATTTCAAAAACGCTAGATAGGGATATTTATTTAGTAAACTAAACAGAAGTTCAGTCCAATTCTTCAAATCGCCCTTTTTCAAGAGCCTGGCGAACAGGGTTCTCCACGTCCACCACACCAGTAGCTTTTAGCCTACAAAGATACAAAAAGAATTAATTAGCCAAGAGATAAAAGAAGATAATGAAATAATTCTAAGAATAAACAAGAAATGAGGAAAAGAAAGATACCTTTCGAATAGAACAAATAACCTCTCAGCTTCGCGCTCCTTTTCCTCCTGTGTCATATCTGGACCTGTCGCCTGGGGCTCTGCATCCCACCTCTGCCCAGTAATGGGATTCACATTCGGGTCAAGGCCACAAGAACTGGTACTGAATGCCTCCTTGGCCGTTTCCGGAACCGGCATGTCATGCGACATGAGGAAGCCTGCAGCAAACCCATATCCGACATTCCTCACGAAATCAGTCGCGTCGCTGCCGGAAAGCTCGAACATGAGAACAGATATGCCTTCGCGCAGACTCGGAGCAACGGGGGAAGTTGATAGACGCAAGAGTCGGGAGGAGAGGGTATTGGATTGGCCTATTGGCAGGTCATGGTGGTCGTCTTCAGGGAGAAGGAGCCACTCCATATACTTTCGTGGGCCTTCGGGTGCGAATGAGTAGATTTTCCGTAGGAGTGTGAGAAGAGGCACGGCTAGGGTTTCGAGGTGTTCGGGTTTGTGCATAGCGACAGCTTGATCTAGGATATTTATCAACTTGTCCACGTTGCAGTTCTGGTCGAACTTGGGAAAGAGCGGATTTGTCCCGAAGTGTTTGCTTTTCTTTGCTTCCAGGTCGAGATTGAGAAGAGAATTGATGAGATAGTTGACAGGTGCCTGGAGTGGTGGGGTCGGTATTTCAATGCGGCTTAAAATTTTCAGGATATGCGGGATTGAAGGGGAGAATGCGTCAATTCTGTGAGGGTAGAAATTGGTGATGTTGAATATGAGTTTTAATGTTTCTGAGAGTGCAAGCTCGTCCATCTGATCGAGCTTCCTCTTTCTGCCCTTGGAAAATCGTTTCGAATGTCGATATATGTGCTGCGATGACCTATTAGAGTGGGCTTTTAAAGGTTCGTGTAGAGACCCAGAAAGGAAACCTGTACACTATTGAGATTTTCCCCCAGGGAGTTATGATCAAACAATTTATCGAAATCTAAATCGGTGTCGTAAGTGGCTAGGAACAGCAAACGCGACGCAAGAAATTCATCGTCAGAATTATCTTCCTGAAAATAGTTGGGACAGCAAACATCAGCACTAGATCACGATCAGCGTCGGCAGGTTTTCTACCTTGAGCTTCTCAGCGAGGTTAGGTCCGTGTCCCAAGTCCACGAATATCTGGCGCATGCTTGGTTTGAGAAGGAGGGCGTTTGCGAGACAACGGAGAGCCTCACGCGATACCGTGGAGGATTTGCCCTCGCAGCCATAATAAGCCAGTACCTTTATCCCCTAAAAATACCAAAAGTCAAGAAGACTTAGCGAATCGCTTGGTATTAATTCTTTGGATCCTTTTGAATTTTTTTCTTTTACCTCTTTCGAATATATTCCGTCTGCGTTTTCCGGCTTCCGTCCATGGACTCGTAGGTTCTGGAGGATCTCCATGCGTTCTGCTCTCAAGACCCATGGTCAGGCGTAGTTCTGAAGTCACATCCGACGAATATAGATTGTAGCGCAAGAACTACATACGAGAAGGCTGAAGATGGTTCGTTGTTACATCTTTAGCAAGCGATTTCACCAACCGCGCTACCTCGTCGAGTTTTTCTATTTTTGCGCAAAAATGCAGGGTGGTTAGCGAGGAAGAACTAGATTCGAAGACCTCCACACCCAGAAAAACAAACAGGAAAAGAAAAAGAGGATGCTTGGGCAACTTCCAAAAACACACATACCTTTCCCCTCTAGTTCGCGCACCTCCATTTTGAAAGTGCGGGGTCAGGAATTCCACCGGTAGATTGAACGGAGCGCAAGGTGAGGTGGTCAGAGTTATCAGGTCCAAAAATGGTTCCAAAGAATGATGAAATCGGCAAACGAGCGCAGGTTATCATCACCCCTAGAAGCGAGCGAACGAGAACTGGGTAATATCAAGATAGTAGAAATACTTGGTCGTGACAGAGGGGTAGAGAATGAGAGCATGCGGTGTGCAGTGCGTGGTATGTGGGGGTGCGTCGATTTGTGGTGATATAATCAAGTGTGACGTTTTCTCCATCGTCGCAGCCAAGCAGCTCGGCGGCCAAGGATTCTCCGCATTCAGCAAGCAAAGCACTTATTAAGTTCCCCACGCTGCATTTAATAATAATGGGGACGACTGTTGTGTAGGCTACTGGGGCAAAAGAGCTCAGTCACCACCAGCGCACTGCTGGTAGAAGGGCCGATCAACCCGGGACCCCCAACACCCCCCTTCGGACCAGCTACCACAGAGTACAGTACTCCTCTCAGTGGCTCCTCTCAGTGGCTCCTCTTAGTGGCTCCTCTCAGTGGCTCCTCTTAGTGGCTCCTCTCAGTGCACTCAGTCCTAGGGCTCATTCTTTCAAGGGCTCACTCCTAGGGCACACTCCTAGGATGTCTCTTGGCACTGTTAAATGTCCGGGGTATTTGTTTTGGGATTTATATTCTTAAGTTCATCCTGGAATCAAACCCATGCATGTTGACCACAGCGGGGCTCACACTAAACGGTCTCATAACCTGTAGGCTACTGGGACAAAAGAGCTCAGTCACCACCAGCGCACTGCTGGTAGAGCCGATCAACCGGGACCCCCAACATGTTGCGTGTAAGTATAGTATGATGACAGGGTTCTTCGATCGGCCGGCTTTGTCTTACTGTTTTTACGAATACTTCTGTCTAGACTTTAGTGGTTGGCTTTTTATGACGGGAAGATCATACTTTCATTTCTAGAATAAGGGTGTTTGGTTGCAAGCTCATGGGCGTAGTAGTACGCCTGTATGTGCCCCGGCTTGAAGTAGTGATTTCATCGTCCATTTAACATGATCACAACATATCATATCAAGCACAATAGCTGCTCACCGACAGTTCGAACGATTGATTATTAACCGGGATCCTACAATATAGTGAAGAGATTAGCGCGAGAAAGGTGTTTGCAGCCCAATTTCCTAACTACGGCAGCCTATGGTGACATTTGAGTCAAATGGCTTTTTTGGTATTTTTCTGCTGTAATTACATAATTCCACTTATAGACACTCATCAATAGAAATTTAGAAAGTTTGTCTGCAAGCAGAAATATCTCATTTCATTCTAATTAATTACAAGCATCAAATGCTCGCTTACGCTCGCTTTGCTGCTTGCGCAGCCCCTCTAGAACTTCACCCACTTCGCAACATGTCGAGATTTTTGGAATTTAGAGTTTACGTAAAGCATTGAGGTCTGCATTAAGATAACTTGGCGAGGAAATTTGAAAGGGGAAGAGAAAGATTAAAGA